TGATTCTGTTGATGTGAGTAGACTCTTTTTTTCTTGATAAGTCTGGCAAGGGGTTTATCTATTTTGTTTATTTTCTCAAAGAACCAGCTCTTGCTTTCACTGATTCTTTCTATTGTTTTATTCTTCTTGATTTTATTTATTTCTGCTCTAATCTTTATTATGTCCCTCCTTCTACTGACTTTGAGCCTCATTTGTTCTTCTTTTTCTAGTTTCCCTAATTGTGCATTTAGACTGCTCATATGGGATTGTTCTTCTTTCCTGAGGTAGACCTGTATTGCAATATACTTTCCTCTTAGCCCAGCCTTCGCTGCATCTCACAGATTTTGCAGTGTTGAATTATTGTTGTCATTTGTCTCCATATATTGCTTGATCTCTGTTTTTCTTTGATCATTGATCCACTGGTTATTTAGGAGCATGTTGTGAAGGCTCCATGTGTTTGTGGGATTTTTCATTTTCTTTGCATAATTTATTTCTAGTTTCATGCCTTTGTGGTCTGAGAAACTGGTTGGTGCAATGTCAATCTTTTTGAATTTACTGAGGCTCTTTTTGTGGCCTAGTATATGATCTATTCTTGAAAATGTTCCATGTGCATTTGAGAAGAATGTGTATTCTGCTGCTTTTCAGTGTAGAGTTCTGTAGATGTCTATTAGGTCCATCTGTTCTGATGTGTTGCTCAGTACTCTGTGTCCTTACTTATTTTCGGTCTGGTTGATCTGTTCTTCAGAGTGAGTGCAGTGTTGAAGTCTCCTGGAGTGAATGCATTGCATTCTATTTTCCCTTTTAATTCTGTTAGCATTTGTTCACATATGTAGGTGCTCCTGTGTTGGGTGCATAGATATTCAAAACAGTTTTATCTTCTTGTTGGATTGACCCTTTTATCATTATGTAATATCCTTCTTTGTCTCTTGTGACTTTATTTGTTTTGAAGTCTATTTTGTTTTATATAAGAACTGCAACTCCTGCTTTTTTCTCCCTATCAGTTGTATGAAATATCTTTTTCCATCCCTTCACTTTTAGTCTGTGTATGTCTTTGGGTTTAAAGTGAGTCTCTTGTAGGCAGCATATAGATGGGTCTTGTATTTTTATCTATTCATGACTTTATGTCTTTTGATTGGTGCATTCAGTCCATTTACATTTAGGATAATTATTGATAGGTATGTACTTATTGCCATTGCGGGCTTTAGATTCATGGTTACCAAAGGTTCAAGGTTAACTTCTTTACTATCTAAGAGTCTAACTTAACTTGCTTAATATGCTGTTACAAACACAATCTAAAGGTTCTTTTTTTTTTCCTCCTTTTTCTTCCTCCTCCATTCTTTGTATATTAGGTATCATATTCTGTACTCTTTGTCTATCCCTTGACTGACTTTGGGGATAGTGAATTTAATTTTGCGTTTGCTTAGTAATTAGCTGTTCTACTTTCCTTACTGTGGTTTTATTACCTCTGGTGACAGCCATTAAACCTTAGGAACAGTTCCATCTATAGCAGTCCCTCCGAAATACACTGTATAGATAGTTTGTGGGAGGTAAATTCTCTCAGCTTTTGCTTATCTGGAAACTGTTTAATCCCTCCTTCAAATTTAAATGATAATCTTGGTGGATAAAGTAATCTTGGTTCGAGGCCCTTCTGCTTCATTGCATTAAATACATCATGCCACTCCCTTCTGGTCTGTAAGGTTTCTGCTGAGAAGTCTGATGATAGCCTGATGGGCTTTCCTTTGTGTGTGATCTTATTTCTCTCTTTGGCTGCTTTTAATAGTCTGTCCTTATCTTTGATCTTTGCCATTTTAATTACCATATGTCTTGGTGTTGTCTTCCTTGGGTCCCTTGTGTTGGAAGATCTGTGCACCTCCATGGCCTGAGAGACTATCTCCTTCCCCAGACTGGGGAATTTTTCAGCAATTACCTCCTTAAAGCACTTTCTATCCCTTTTTCTCTCTCTTCTTCTTCTGGTACCCCAATAATGCAAATATTGTTCCATTTGGATTGGTCACACAGTTCTCTCAATATTCTTTCATTCTTAGAGATCCTTTTTTCTCTCTGTGCCTCAGCTTCTTTGTATTCCTTTTCTCTAGTTTCTATTTCATTTATCATCTCCACTGTATCCAACCTGCTTTTAATACCCTCCATTGTGCTCTTCAGAGATTGGATCTCTGACAGGAATTCATTCCTGAGTTCTTGAATATCTTTCTGTACCTCCATGAGCATGTTAATGATTTTTTAAACTATTTTTCAGGAAGATTCATGAGGTCAATGTCATTTAAATCTTTCTCAGGAGTTGTATTAATAATTTAACTTTGAACCAGGTTTCTTTGGCATTTCATATTTGTGTAGGGCCCCCTTTAGTGTCCAGAAGCTCTACTTTCTGGAGCTGCTCAGCCCCTGAAGCAGTGTCGGGCGTCACAGGTCAGTGGTATTGGTGCTTGGGGGGAGGAAAGAACTGTTTCCTGCTTCTCGGCTGCTATGCCTGACTCCATTGCCTGAACGAGTGGGCTGAGCACACAGGTATAAGCCTCTATGCTTTGCGTTTGTAGTTGCTCTGGACAGATCTTCCCTTTGGCTGGCCTAATGCCAGGGTAGATTTTGCTGGTTTGCAAGCCAGGTGGGGCTGGCTGGGAGAAAGACACAGTAGGCTGTGTATCACAGAGGGGGTCCTTGGAGTTGTGTAGCCAGCCAGAGAGCGGGAGCACCTGAAGGTCGTGAAAGCTCCCAACCTGCTGGGCAGAGTGCACCTGGACAATTTTGTCTACCTGTCCTTTCTCCTGAGCAGTAAGCTCTGTGCAATCCTTGCCTCTTTAGTAGCCCTCTTGCTAGGGGCTTCCTTGTTAGGAAGTCTCTCAGACTTCCTGCCTTTCTTTTGTCCCAGAGCAGCTGGATATGGATTCCTGCTTTCCACAAGTATCTGGATTCTCAGTCTCTCCAGGAATTCTGCCTCTCTTAGCTTTCCAACCCCCTAATCACAAGAGTACCATGCAAGCACCATGAAATGTAGGTTTGTGCTCCCAGAGCAGATCTCCGGAGTTAGGTATGCAGCAGTCCCAGGCCTCCACTCCCTCCCCACTCCATTTCTCTTCCTCCCACCTGTGAGCTGGGGTGTGGGAAGGACTTGGGTCCTGCTGGGCCACAGCTTTGGTATGTTACCCTGTTCCATGAGGTCTGCTCTTTTCTCCAGGTGTATGCAGTCTGGCACAATCCTCTTTCCTGTTGCTCTTTCAGAATTAGTTGTATTAATTATATTTTTGTATTATATGTGGTTTTAGGAGGAATCCTCTGTCTCACCTCTCATGCCACCATCTTTAATCCTATCAGGATTGCAATTATCTTTACCATGAACTTTATTTTTGTCTTAAAAATTAACTAGTTTCTCTGTGGAAGTGATATTGTACATGACTTTTTAAAAATTCAGACACTGGAGAAGGGTATAAAAAAATGAAAAGTGAATGTCTTTCACTGAAAAAGACATGTAAATAGCTGCACAAACTCTTTCTTAAATTAAAACAAAATTCAACTTCACCCCTCAGATTGGCAAGGATTTGAAAGTTTTGTAAAGTCTAAGATTATGAGCATGTGGGTAAAAAGTCATTCTTGTCTACTTTTGATGAGAATAAGTAAAGGCATCCCTTTTAGAAGGAAATTTGATGATACCTAGAAATTTCTAGAAGCTCATACATTGTGACCCCAAAATTCCAATGATAGGAATGTTTTCTATGAACTCTTAGCAGATGCTGACAAAAATGTTAGCAGCATTGTTCAAAATAGGGAAAAAAACAAAAAACAAAAAACAGACCTAAATACCAACAAACAGGAGACCCATGAAAAAGCATTAACAAATCCATACAACGACTAGTATGCAAATATATAAAGAATGAGATGGGTCAACGTGTGCTGTGGAAAGATCCTCAAGATGTATTGCTAAGTGATCCCATTCACGTAAATTTTAAAAAGACTGACATAAAAACACTTGCATATGCATAGAAAACTCCCCACAGGTTGTGAAATAAACTATTACAGGTGATGAGCTCTGGAGTGTGACCTGCAAGCTACAGGGACTTTCACTTTTCATTTTTTGTCCTTGTGTATGGCTTATTTTTTTTACTCTGTGCATATATTACTTTTGTTGAGAGAGAGATATATGTAGATATACATACATCCAGCATGAATACATAAATACACAAACAGTCCCTTTTACAATGAAATTCTCACCCCCTGGAATAAATAATGCTGGCTCTTTGAATACCTACAGTGAGCTATGTCCTTTATGCATATGAGCTCTAATCTTTCCCAAAACTCACAAGAAAGGTATTATTAACTCCAATTGACTGATGAGAAAATTGAGACTCAGAGAATTCAAGTAACTCACCTGAGGTCACACAGCTATAAATGACCCTAAGCTTCCACACCATCTTTTGTATCAGGTGAAAGGGAACTGAACTAGAAGTTATGAAAGCTGATCTCTAGTCCTTGAATCGCCTTTCCAACTGGCTGGAGACCTTGCTTAAGTCACCATACTCCAGAGCCCTCATTTTGCTGTATTCTATCCCCACCCCTGAAGGTATCTATAAGGTTGCAAAGAGAATGTGGGAGAATGAGAGGCAAACCAAGATAGAATACATCCAAGAGTGATACCATGAGAGCACAGTTGCAAGGGCTTTGGAAAGTATGATGTGAAGCAAAGCCAGGCAGACTCCCTGGAGGAGGTAGTAAAGGATACTAGGACTAACATATGAAACCTTTCATCTACAGAGCCATGTGCTCTGCCCTTTGTATCCACTTTCCCCAAAGCATCCTGCTGGCCCTGTGAAGTAGGAGGTAGTATCTCCTTTCACTTTGGAAACCAAGCCCAGAGAGCTTATGAACCCAGCTCAAGTGCACTCAGTGTGATGGATGGAGGGGGGATTCCAGCCCACACCACCAACTCTGGAGCCTGAGCTCCTCACTTACCCCTTGCCGTGGCTGCCCTTCCCATCCAGCTTATTCACACTTTCTGCATCCTCCCCTAGGTGAGGAAGAATCTAAGACCAGTCTTGAGCAGCCAAGAAACGTCTGCCTGGGGCTCATCAATAAGGACCAGTATGAACCCTTCTACCTTGAGAACACTGCTCAGTGCTTCGCAAAGTGTGGGCAGCGGGAGAGTGAACCCTGTGATCTGGGAAACCTGCAGCGGTAAGGGGGCCCTCTGAGCTGGAGCAGGAATCTGGGGCTCCTGTGGGGTGGAAGGGAGGCTGTTAGGAAGGGACAGAGCTGTCAGCCCCCATGGTTCCAGAAAATGCTGTTCTCATCTCACCCTCCCACCTTGCTGTTGGATGCCCACATCCCCCCTTCCCACCTCCCGAGACCCTTCTGATCCAGGGCATGCAGAGATGAATCAATCCCTGTCCCGGCCATTGCGGAGGGACAGACGTGGGTCCAAATGCTGATGACTCTAGAGTGTGATCATACAGAAGAGTGGACAAGGTGCCAGGTTAGCTCAAAGGAGGGACGTCTGCCAAAGCTTCACTGGGAACACAACCCATGAAAATGTTTTGAAGGCTACATAGGAGTTTTCTAGTTGAACCCAAGCAGTGTTAGGGGATACAGGCAGCAGAACTTCAAAGAGTTTGGGAGAGAGCTACAGTGCTTTGAACTGTGAAATAATAAAATGTTGGGGATGGAGGTAACAATGGGGAGGTAGGGTGGGTGGGGGATAGCCTGGAAATATAAGCAGAGACCAAGTGTGAGCTACACCAAAGCAGGAGGGGACATGGCTGTGATATATTTTAAATAGAGCATTGTCAACTTTGTATTTTAGGAAGATTGCTCAGGTTTCAGGGAAGGATACAAGGATGGTGACGTGACCAGGACATAACTGCAGTGGTCTGGGTACGAATGAGGACTGAGCCACCTGCACTCCCACCACCAGTTGGCACTGTGCCCCTAGGAAGGAGGGATAGATTGGAGACATTGTATGATACAGACTCAGTAAGACCATGAGACCAAGAGATATTGGATTGAGAGAGAGGAAAAGGTTTATAATACATCTCCAAGAGTCATCTCCCAAAATATCTTTGCCTCTCTCCCATCCTCTCCTTTCCTTCTCTCCTTTGCCCATAACTCTTCTAGGGTACTCAGGACAGGCTCATAGTTGGCACTAGGTGCATATTTGCTGAAAAAAAATAAATGAAAAGCTTGTTCTCAGGCTTAGGATTAGGACATTAATTTGACTGAACCGTATTAATTTCAGTGGCCTGAAAATGCTCCCATCCCTCTCTGAAGCAGCTCCAAGAGGCTGTTCAGGAGGCTCCTTGTTGTGCTGCCTTATGGTGGGATAAGTGCTTTGGAAAAATCAGGGCTCTGGGATCAGAAGATGTGGGGTGTCTTCCCAATCCTATCACTTAACTATGTTGTTTCCTTTATCTTCACAACCCTCTTAGGTAGGACCTGTTGTCAACCCGTTTTACATACAGATAAGAAAACTAAGGCTCCAAAAGGTTAGATAACTTGTCCAGAGTTACAGAGCAGGTAAACAGCAAAGCCCAACACAAACCTAGGTCTGGAAGACAGTGGGGAAGGTATATAGTAACACAGGCTGGGCTTAGGCAGTCGATTCTTTGATGCCTTTAAACAAATTATTTTTGTATCATATCTTTTCTATTTGTACTCTGTGACAGCATTCATCTATCACTGACAGCTCCACCCTACGCAGAAGCAGAAGTCCAAAGCCCTAACTTTTTTTTCTAAGAAAAGCCATTTTGAGGTATAATATGTATGTAACAACAAAATGCACGAATGTTAACCCTACAACTCAATAAATTTTTACATATTAATATATGCATCCTTTAACCACCATCCACATCAAGCTATAAAACTTTTCTAGCCTCACAGTAGGGTCCCTCATGCACCCTCTCAGTCAATAACACCCCATCATGGTAACCTTATTCTAACTTCTATAACCAAATGTTAGTTTTACTTGTTTTCAAACTATATAGAAATAGAATCATACAGTACTCTTTTGTGTCTGGCTCCTTTCTCACATCATTATGCCAAGAGATTCATCTGGGCTGTTTTTGCATGTTTTGCAAGAGATTCGTCTGGGATGTTTTGCATCAATCCCTAATCTGCTTTCTACCCTGTAGATTAATGCTCTCATTAATGCTCTATAGTATTCCGCAGTATCAATGTGCCGCTGTGTATCAGCTCTTCTACTGTTGATGGGCCTTTCAGTTATTTCTGGTTTGGGGCTGTCTTAGTCACTTCAGGCTGCTATAACAAAAATACCAAAGACTGGGTGACCTACAAACACGGGGATTTCTTTCTCCCAGTTCTTTAGTCTGGAAGTCCAAGATAGGGTTGGGTTCTGGTGAGGACCCTCTTCTGGGTTGCAGACTGCAGATTTCTCACATGGCAGAAAGGACTGGGGAGCTCTATGGGGTCTCTTTTATACAACACTAATCCCACTCATGATGGCTCCACCCTCAAGACCTAATCCCCTCTCAAAGGCCCCACCTCCTGATAGTATCACACTAGGTGCTTAGAATTTCAACATGTGACTCTGGGGGCAGACATAGACATAGTTCAGAATAAAGGCTATTATGAATAAAGCTGCCACAAACTTTTTTGTAAATGTCTTATTGTAGACATATACATTCATTTCTCTAGGATAAATACCTAGAAGTGGAATTGCTATCAAAGGTTGGCATATGATAAATTGTAATAAGCACCGCCATAGTTTTCTGTGGTGGCTGTATCAATTTACACTCCCACCAGCAATGTGTGAGAATTCTAGTTACCCCACATCCTTGTGATATTTGGTATCAGCCTTTTAATTTAAGCCACTCTGGAAAGTGTATGGTGGCATCTTCTTTCTTTTTATTAATTTTGGTGGATTTATTTATTTTAACTTATATACCATCCAGTCTATTCATTGTTAGAGTACAGTTCAATAATTTGTGGTATATTTATGCCATGTGTGGAAACATTATTCTAATAATTTTAGAACACTTCCATCACCCCCAAAAGTACCCTAGTGCCTATTTGCAAACAACTCCTGCTCCCATATTCAGCCACAGTCAATCCCTAATCTGCTTTCTACCCCGTAGATTTAACTTTTCTGGGCATTTTACATAAGGGAACAATTCACTATGAAGACTTTTGTGTCTGGCTTCCTTCACTTACAATGTTTCTGAGTTACATTCATATTTTATTATGTATCAATATGTATCAATGTATTCATTGTTGAGTAATATTCCATACATTTTGTTTATTCATTCACCAGTTGATGAACATTTGGATTGTTTCCAGTTTGGGGTTATTATGTACAATGCTGTCATGAACATTTGAATTCAAGCCTTTGTAGACATAGGTTTTCATTTCTTTTGGGGAAATACTTATGAATGGAATTGCTAGAATATATGATAGGTATATTTTCAGCTTTATATTAAACTGCCAAACTATTTGTTAAAGTTGCTGTATCATTTGCTTTTCCATCAGCAGTGTGTAAACCAGCTACAGTTTCAATACTTCCATGCAGTATTGTTAGTCTTTTTGGTTATAGCCATTCCAGTGTGTGGGAGTGGTGTCTCCCTGTAGTTTTAATTTGCAGTTTATAAATGACTAATGATGTTGAGCATCTTTTCATTTGCTTATTAGCAATTTGTGTATTTTCTTTGGTGAAATGACTATTCAAATCTTTCCCTCTTTTTTTAAATTGGGTTGTTTGTCTTATTACTGAGTTTTAAAAATCCTTTTTAAATTCTGGATGCAAGTCCTTCATCAGATGTATAATTTGCAAATATATCCCCTCAGTGTATGTCTTGTCTTTTGAATATCAAAATCATTTAATTTTGACAGGCCCAACAATTTAAGTGTGTGTGTGTGTGTGTGTGTGTGTGTGTGTTTGATATATCAAAGAAATGTTCATCTAGCCCAAGGTTTCAAAGACTTTCCCCTAAGTTTTCTTCTACAAATGTGTGATTTTAGCTTACAATTAGGTTATGCATTTGGAGTTCATTTTTTATGCACAGTGTGAGGTAAATGTCTAGTGTGTGTGTGTGTGTGTGTGTGTGTGTGTTTGATATATCAAAGAAATGTTCATCTAGCCCAAGGTTTCAAAGACTTTCCCCTAAGTTTTCTTCTACAAATGTGTGATTTTAGCTTACAATTAGGTTATGCATTTGGAGTTCATTTTTTATGCACAGTGTGAGGTAAATGTCTAATTTATATTATTATTATTATTATTATATTTGCACTAGATATCTCATTGTTTCAGCACCTTTTGTTGAAAAGACTGCTTTCTCCATTGCATTGCCTCTGGGAGGGCATTCCATTGAGGGTTAAATGGAAGCTCCTGTAATGTCATCTCCCTACCAATATAGTAAACAAGAAACCAAACTACATCCCTGGGGGAAATGCAGAGATTAACACCATCATGGAAGACTTGAAAAAAAGCAAGGGAGGTAATGCCTATCACAGCTCCATTTAACTCAGCATAAATCAGGTGGATCTTGGAGAATGACTGGGAAATATCACAGACTTAATCAGGTATGAATCCAACTGCAGTTCCCATCCTAGATGAGTATATTTACTTGAACAAATCAACACAGCCCCTGGCAATTGGTATGTGGCTGTTCCAGGCTAATGCATTTTTCTCCATACCAATTTTCATAGACTACCAGAAACAATTTGCTTCTACCTAGCAGGGTCAATCGTATACTGCCACAGTGTTTTCTCAGGGCTGTGCCAGTTCTCCTAAACCTCTGTCATCATACAATTAGTTCACAGAGATCTTATTAATCTTTATATTCTACAAAGCATCACTCTGGTCCAATATATTGAGCATATTATGCTGATTAGGTCTGATGAGCTATAAGTGGCAAGTATGGCTTTAGGAAGACATAGTGAACTAGAGGATGGGAAAGACATCCCACAAGGATCCAGGGGTTCACCACCTCAGTGAATTTTCTGGGCATTCAGAGGTCTGGAGAACATCAAAATATCCCTTCCAAGGCAAACGATAGGTTTTTGAATCTCACACCATTGACAATGAAAAAACAAGCACAACGTGAAAAAATGTATATCATGCAAACATGAACCAGAAGATAGCTGAGTATATATATTGATAGGAGACAAAGAAGATGTCAGCTTTGTAATCAAAAATTCACCTCTACATCTATGCTTTAGGCTTTTTAAATATATGTCACATTTCACCACTAAAATAATTTTTAAAAGTGCTCTAAGGACCAGATCAGGAAACCTTCCCTCAAGAAAGTGAATTGGGCTGTTTTGCGAAACCAAGGTATTTTTTAAGTACATGAGGCAAACTATATATATTGTTAAGTACAATTCACTATTTGATTTTACCAATGAAAATCACAATACTCCTGCATGTAGTTAAATAAAGGTATATAAAAGCTAGAATCAATTGGTGTAGCTCAATCAATGGATCTAAATAATCTTGTCTCACTGTTTCTGCCTGGATGGTGTTCTAACTGTCTGCTGCACCCAAGCACATCTGTACATATTTGCATGGTTTACTCTTTATACTATGAAACATTTTTTTCTGTGAGTTCTTTGGTGCTTTTTCCTTGGTAAAAGGAAAACTGAGAGTTGGAAAGTGATGTCAAAATAAAAATCTCTTTTGTCTTCCTGGCAAGCCCTCCATAGCCACTCCTTTCCTAGAGGTTTGATCTGGCTGTATCTGCTTTTGCTCCCCTTTTCTCCCATTGCTACCTCAGCCCTTTATCTGTTTAGATCTGTTTAGAGTGCTGAGGAAAGGTATGCAGCATGTCTTACAACCCAGGCTTAGAAAAAGGAACTCTGGCCATGGAGAAGTTTCAGAACCATGGAGAGCATGTGGATTGGGGGCGGGTGGGTAAGACTGCCTTACCCTAACATTTTAGTTGATGGTAGGGGGCTGTAGTAAAATAAATGAGAACACATGTGTTCTGAGTGGTTCCAATACCAGCTCAGTTCCCATGCAACTCACCTTCAAAGGCTTAATTCCCAATACTCACTTAGCACACAATAAATGTGAGCTAGCACTCATGCCACACAAGTATCATCCTACAATTTAAAATACTCAGAAGAATTTCTCCAAATAAGATACGGAAAGGTCAAAAAGCACATGAAAAGATGCTCAACATCATTATTCATTAGGGAAAAGCAAATTAGAACCACCATACAATGCCATTTCATACCCACTAGGATGGCTAGAATTTCAAACAAAACAAAATGAAAAATATTCACTGTAGGCAAGGATGTGGAGAAATTGGAAGCCTTGTACATTGGTGGTAGAAACGTAAATGGTGTAGCAGTTGTAGAAAACGGTTTGACAGTTCCTCAAGAAGTTAAAGATAGAATTACCATATGATCCAGCAACTCCACACCTAAGAGTATATCCAAAGGACCTGAAAATGTGTCTTCAAACAAAAGCTGGCACAATAATAAAAGCAGCCCTGTTCACTACATAGCCCAAAGGTGGGAACAACCCAACTGTCCATCAATGGATAAATGTATGAACAAGATGCGGCATATCCATACTATTCACCTATAAAAAATAATGAAATATTTATACAGGCTACAAAATAGATGAAACTTGAAAACATGCTAAGTAAAACAGCGTAGGCACAGAAGACCAGATATCATATAATTCCATTTATTCAGAATAGGCAATTCATAGAGCAGTGGTTTCCATGGGTTGGGGAAAAAGGAAGGGGGTGGTTGCTTCATAGGTTCAGAGTTTCCTTTTGGGGTGAAGAAAATGTTCTGGAACTAGATAGTGATGATGGTTACACAACATTGTGAATGTATTTAATGCCACTGAATTATACACTTTAAAATGGTTTAAATGGTACATTTTATGTTATATATATTGTCTCAGAAAAGATGAATACATAAAGTACTTGGAAAGACCACTTGCTGGAATCCCTTAGAACCAGCCTGGATTGCTCCCACTGAGACAGGGACTGTGGGTTTTAGGGTAGGGTGAGGGCCTCCGGAAAAAACAAAGCAAGATAATCCACTGTGGGATTTGCTTTGGCCTGCTGGGGGGACCCAGCTTATTTTTTTGACTTTGCCCAGATGCTGCTTTTCCTCCTCCAACGCTAATCAAGTGATTTGCAACCTGGGCAATTTAGCAAGCAAGCCCAAAACAATGTAGTAAAAACAAGAAGGATTCCATCTTGAAGATAAAATTGCATTTAAAAACACAATTAGTTAAAAAGTAAGTTTCTTAACATACTCTTTAACAATCAGACAATAACTCAGCCCACCTTGGGAGCAGAGCAGGCAGTCTTGATTGATATGCTTCCCAGACCAGGAAGCTGCTATCCTGGGAGGAAATCAGAGCAGTAAATTTCTTGTAAATAACCCAAAAGACTAATAAGAAACTTAATGTGTCTTCAAAGATAAACATTTTGGAACCACTTAGCACGTCTGCATTCCTAGCCCCAGCCCCTCGTCTCTCAACCGTTCATAAATACCCTAGACAATGCACCACCTGGGACTCTCTTGTCCTCTGCCAGGATGAGCCGGAAGCTCTGGCCTCTTGCTCTCTAAATAAAAGTCTCTGCCTTGCTCTCCTAGCATGAGTGTTTGCAAAGTTCATTCTTTTGACTCTGAACAAGAACCCCTGGCATCACCATGCCATTTCTCTTTTCCTGCAGTGATCCCAGGGTCTTTCCTTTGATATTCTGCGTCACCCCTCCACCCCAAGAGCATGATGATTGCTGCCCATGGTATCTTTCCTCCTGTCAGCTAGGCTGGGGACCAGGTGAGTGAGTAATAACCTACAAGACACTACCTTTTGCCTGATCCCTGGCCCTTTGCAGATACTGGCTGAAATACGAGACCTATCTGGTGGAGAAGACTCTGGTAGAGACCGTGAATATGTCTTTTGTGAAGGCTTTTGTCAAGAATATCAACACCAGCATCTCAGAAGATCTGCACTTCTCTCTGACCCCGTCTCAGGTGAAGAGTCCCCCATCCCTGTTGGCAGGTTCTGGCCCTAATCTCCTCAGGCATATTTTTCAGAACTCCGAGAGAGTCACGGTCCATGCTTGGTGTCCCTCAAACCTTATCCTTTTCATGTCTCATTTGGCAGTGTCTGCCACCTTGCTAATGGGTGCCAGTGAACTAATTGGGTGAGTGGATCCTGGTCACAGACTACCCAGGGTGCTAAATTGAGACATTTGGAGGATCACTGAATTGACAGTCAGGAGCCCTGGGTTCTACTCCTGGACTTCTGACTGCCTCACGAGATGCCTTCCAGGAAATCCCTTCCTCTCTCAGGGCCCTGGAGTCCTCATCTATAAAATGAGCTCTAAGGTGTCTTCAAAGTCCGCAGCTCCCACGAGCTCTTCCCCACGGGGCATACCTTTGAAACCGGTAAGGGCACTCTTAACCATACTGCAAAGGACTAAACAGGCAGACTGGATTTACACTGGTCTGGATTCAAATTCTAACTCTGCCCCTGACCAGCTATTTATGATGTTGGGCACACAACTTTTCTGAGCTGTGGTTTTCCCCTCCCTAAGATGGTGATGGGATTGCCCACTGTGAAGGTTGTGGGGTGGGGATAGCAAATGAGATAATGCACAGGGAATGCTTGGCACAGTGGGGTGCAGCCTCCCTTAAGGAATGAAACTGAGGGCCGAAGTCAGGCAGCAGGCAAGTTGGCTCCCATTGAAGTGCTCCTGATCTGTCTGGGGAAGGGAGATGGAAGAGGGGGAGGGCTTCTCTCAATCCTTTATTATGTCAGCCAAGCAGCTGAGCCCTCTGTGTGGGGTATGCACTAACCCCAGAAATCACCCACATGTCTTTTTGACAAGAGTCAGAAGACAGAAGAAAGTTGGGGCCTTCAGCTCTGACCCTTAGCTCCCCGCGTTGCAGTGCCCACAGAGTACTTTGAGGCAGGACTTGGTGGGACCAGTGAGGTCAGAGAATGAACAAAATATGCTTTGCAGTGATCAGTGAAACCTATTATTTTAATCATTGTTTGCTTTTGCAAAATTTGTTGTTGGGTGGGGCTTGGTATCACATTCAGTGTGAAGCCTCATATCCTTCGTCTCTGCTCTCACTGTGTCCCTTCCCAATGGCCTTATTATTTTCATTTATTCCTGTGTCAGAAGCCAGACACCTTCACCATAATGGCCTACGTAAGCGCAGGGGCTGTTAGCATCCTGGCCAAAAGTGCACCACAACCGTCCATTCCTCACACTTGCAAACTGAGCTTCACAGCCCACTTTCAGCCTGACAGGTGGCAACACACAGGCACCTTGTTAGCTCCACTCTCCACATTGGGTAAACTGAGGCTCAGTGAGTGTTACGACTTATCCTGGAGCTCTCAGCCTGTGCAGAACAGAGCGTGCGCTGTGCCCCCAGGCATCCTGCCTCTCAGAGCTGATGTCCTCAGGTGCTTCCCCTTCACCCAGTGGCTGTTTCCCCTCCCAAATGGAGAGTGGCGGGACCTGATGCAGGGACTGGAATCCTCCAGTAAAGATGGGCATTGCTGGGCGTGTTGCAGATTCCCAGACAGGTGGCGGCGGATGAAGACAAGCACTCTGACAGAGTCCGGCTGCCCGGGAGCCTTTTTGAGACCTTGCAGGGCAACCAGTCGGTGATCCGGCTGGCCGTAATGGTCCTGGACATTGGTCATGGGAACCTCTTCAAGGTGAGGAGGGGCTTGATGGCACTCAGAGCTGCTCAGAGGCGCAGGGTATGTTTTATCAGGGACCTGTGCCCCAGCTTGTTCTCTCTGGACTCTTCCCTGCAGGAGCTAATGGGACTGGAAGGGAGACAAGCCCCTGCAGAGTGTTTCTAAAGCACCCCACGGTCACCCCAGTCCCTTCTCTAGAGTCTGTGCACTGCAGAGTCACATTGGTCACATACACTCAGATGTCTGGACCCCACACACCAGTGTCCTTGGCTTGTGTCCAGTGACTTGTAAGTGTATCCAAAGTGAGCTCATGCCTTATGTGTGTCCTGTGCATGTACAAACATGCACATCCTTTCATGTTCCTGGTGCACATGTAATTGGTGTGCACCATGTCCTCACAAGCAAGTGTATCTGTGCTCTTGTCAGTGTGTACCAGGTGTGTGTCCAGAGGTGTGTACCCACTCACATGTAGATAACCACTGTGAATAGGCACCCACTGCCCCCCATGTCTGGGCTGTCTTTCTTCTGGCCCTGTGCTTCTCCAGTGAGGAGGGCAGAGAAGCTCTGCAGGCCAGCAATGGAGAGCTGTCAGGTGCGTGGTTTTGTGACCAGTTAGCCTGGAGTGCAGGGCCTGCCCTGGCCCAGCTGCAGCAGGAGACTACAGGGAGTGGCAGGAGGAAGGTCACCCGTGGCCCCTGGGGCCTCTGGTTCCCTGGTCACAGGCTTTTCCCTCCAGGCAAGAGCTACCGGTCCTGGAGGCTTCCAGAAACTCACCCCCTCCCATCAGGGCTGAATTGGGAGAGCCCCTCCCACAGCCTAGCCTCCCCCCATGTCCCTCCACAGGGCCCTCAGTTCAGCCAGGAGGATGGCCGCAGTGTGTTGAACAATCGCCTGGTGGGCTTGAGTCTGGGTGGTACACCTGTCACCAGGCTGGCCGAGCCTCTGAAGATGACCTTCTTCCACCAACTTCAGCCTCCCGTGAGTCCCCTACCCAGGGCTGGCAGTGACTGAGGGGCAGGTGGGCTCTCACAGGCATAGGGCAGACATGCATGGGACTCTGCACCCACCAACCCTTCCTATCCACACTGGAGAAGCCATTAGGACATAAAGTGGGGCCTGGGGACAAATGCATGCGCTGTGTATGTATGTCCTCATGCCTCCCAGACACCTGCTCACGCATGTGCTCAGAGGTGCACGTAGACCCTGGCAAAGCCAAATACAAGCGCACAGCATTACCCATCCACCCACTTACATGCTCCCTAAAAGCATGTGCACACAGACACACCACCTCCCACCCACGGCCACACAGCACATCCAAGCCCATCACATGCTGATCCAGGGCACACCCAACCACGTGGCTAATGTCCCTGTGTGAGTCGCGGGGTGAGACTTGCTTTCTGCCTGATGAGCACACATGCTAAGATGCAGAGGCATCTGCCCTCTCCCCACTGCCCCCCACCCTCTCCCCTCTTCCCACCTTCCCACCACCACCCACCTCTATCCTGACTCCCACTCTGGTTTCAGAACGTGACTCTCAGCTGTGTGTTCTGGGATGTGACTAAAGGTAGGCCCTGGAGGACCTTCTCTGGCTAAGAGGGGCAAGGAGGATGGGGCTCCCTTAGGAGGCAGGGCTCCACCCGTGGGGCTCCTCCCTCTCCCCCTTTCTGGACGCCTCTCCATGCTTTCCCTCCCCTCCCTCACGGTCCCCTCTCCTCCCCTCCAGGATCTACAGGAGATTGGTCTTCCAAGGGCTGCTCCACGGAGCTCAGAGCCACAGGGACTGTCTGCCGCTGTGACCACCTGACCTTCTTTGCCCTGCTGATGGTAACAGCTCACCCACACTGATTCCACCGTTCTGGAGGGGCCAAGGCTCCTGCCCCAGGGGAGAGGCTGCCTGGCAGAGGCCTGTTCTGTGGGGTGCATGGGGCTGGCTTCCACTGATGCCCGGTTTGGGGGTTCACCCACAGAGGCCAATCTTGGACCAGGCCACCGTGAAGGCCCTCATTCGCATTTCCCAGGCTGGCTGTGGAGCCTCCATGATCTTCCTGGCCTTCACCATTGTCCTCTATGCCATCCTGAGGTGGGTGACCACATCCCTACCCCACAGCACCCTCCTGCCCTCAAGGGTGCAACAATACAGGGTAGAAAGCACCCTGGTTATGCAGCATCATATCGATACCCTCTTCAAACCTTCGTTTCCTCACCTATACAGTGGGGTTGAATGTTGAAATGTGTCAGGGCTATTTCAGTTGCAAGTGTCAGAAACTCAGTTCAAATTGGAGGGGAAAAAGTGTGGTTCATGTAATTGAAAAGCTCCAGGTGATCACATCAGGCATCCAGGGGCTCAAAAGATGTTGCCAGGACTTGGTCTCCCACTGTGGCTTACAAGTTTGCTGGGTCCTCTGTCTGTCATGTGAAGCAGCTTCTCAACATTCAGGGGCCCTGGGGAGCCCCAGACTTGTATCACAGTTTCTTAGCAGCTAAGCAACTAAGATTCTAAACTAAATCCCAGCATTGAGGCTTTTAGAAATATTTATTTTGAAATAATTACAGCAAACAGGAAGTTGCAAAAGTAGTACATAGGGCCCTGTGTTTCCTCCCATCTAGCTTTTCCCAATGATGACATAGCTGTCATACAATGTCAAACCAGACAATTGACATTGGTACAGTGCTACTAACTAGGATGCGGTTGCCACAATTTTTTACATGCATTCATCTGTGGAGTGTGTGTGTGTGTGTGTGTGTGTGTGTGTGTGTGTGTGTGTGTGTGTGTGTGTGTGTATGGTTCTCTGCAACTTCATCCCATGTATAGCAGAGCTGACTTTTACTGGTCTAACTTGGACCACGTGCCTATGACTCAGTGTGGCCAAGGGATAGATGACCCTGTCTGGCCACACCAGGTCATGTGCCTGCTCTTGGGTTTGAGCTAGCAGAGGGCCAACCTCACCCAAACGTCATAGCTAAGCATGGGGAAGGGTGTTCCCCAGGGAAATCTGGGCTGTTTCTGGAAGGGGGAGTGAGTGCAGGACAGGCAGAAGCAGCAGAGACCGCTGTGCCCTGTGCCCAGCCTGCCCAGCCCCAGCCTCCTGACTCGTGACTTAACTGGAGCAGTTCTGGGGTCTCCTGACTCCCAGTCTGGGGTCCTCCCATGCCTCTTGGCCTCCATCACCATTTGGCTCTGGGCTGCAGCTCCCCCTAGCCCCAGCCTCTCCATGTCAGACCAAACCATGAGTGTAAGTGATGCCATCCATGGTCCCATCCCCTAAGCCCTGGCCTACGACACTGCCCTCAAACCAGTGAGCTGAGCATGACTTCCCAGCTGGCTGCACTGTTGGCCCCTGTGAGCCGGGTTTGGAGAGCCAGGAGGAATTGTCACCGGCTCCCAAGGGTGCCAAGGGTCACTGGCATCTCAGGTGAGGTGGGCATTATCCCTCATGTCCCCTCTTCAGGCAGCGCTGGGGCTCCCATCCCTCCGATGAGAGCCCTTTGGGATCTGATTTGCTAGGAATTCTTAGTGGGAACTCCACAGCGAGGGAGGTGAACCCTGGGAAGAAGCACTGGGCCAGGAGCCTGGAGCCCCTGCTCTGTTCTGTGAGTCTAAGTCCTTGTCCCTCTCTAAGCCTCACTCTTCCTACTACATCCTAGACCTCATGCACCCATGCCCTGTCCGCCACCACGCTCTCAGCCAGTGCATCCAGGGCCTCCTCCTGCCTAGCGTGCTGGGCCCGAGGTCACAGCATGGGGAGAGACAGCGCTTAGGGGAGGGGAGAGAGTAACACGGGGCTGCTGGAAACCTTTGGAGCCAGCCTGACATAAGTGGTGCTCAGAGACAGTGCCCCCAGAAGGAAACGCCCAAGGGGAGTTCTGAAGGTGGAGTAAGCAGGGAAGGGCACTGAGAGCTGACAGAAGAGTTCAGGCAAAGTGAGGGAGTATGGAAAAGCTGAATGCCCTCAGGGAATTTCAAGGTGGGCAGCTGGTAAAGCACTGGATCAAGGGATGAGGGCAGGAGGAGCTGAATCCCACAGGGCCTTGCGGGCCATGCAAGAGCTTGTGGGCTTGGACCTGAGGGTGCTCACACGCTGGGTGCTGGCAGGTGGAACAGAGGAGGTGGGATGGAGAGGGCTGGGTGCCCCTTGAGAGCTGTGACCCTTTCAGACTCTCACTGGCCTTCTCAACCCAGGTTTTCCTGGCAGAGGTTCAAGTCAGAAGATGCCCCCAAGATTCATGTGGCCCTGAGCATTAGCTTATTTCTCCTGAACCTGGCCTTCTTCATCAATGTGGGGCAGGGCTCGAACTGGTCCGATGCTACCTGCTGGGCCCGGGGGGCCGTCTTCCACTACTTCCTGCTATGTGTCTTCACTTGGATGGGCCTAGAAGCCTTCCACCTTTACCTGCTCATCATCAAGGTCTTTAACACCTACTTCGGGCACTACTTCCTGAAGCTGAGCCTCGTGGGTTGGGGTAGGTGCAGCCTGGACATGCAGAGGGCGTGGCTGGTGCTGGAAGGTGCAAAAGAGAGACCAGTCTGGGACAGAGAGGAGGCTCCTTCTCTCAGACAGGCTCAGGGCTCAAGGGGTGGGCAGCTGGAGGGGGTCTTGGAGGAGGACATACCGAGGGAGCCCTAGCAATGCCATGCGCCTCCCCCTCCCCCCAGGCCTGCCTGCCCTAATGGTCATTGGCACTGGGAGTGCCAACAGCTACGGCCGCTACGCCATCCGCGACAAGAAGAACATTACCACGCTGGAGCTGTGAGTGGTGGCTGTGGGAGCAGGGCTGTTATCAGGTCCCTGGCTGCACATGTCAGGGTCACAGGGAGGTGGGGCAGGAGGGAATCCTGGGAAGAGTACGTCAAGTAATCCTAAGTAAGGCGTAGCATCCTCAGATGCAGCTGGCTCGTGGCCTGGGAGGGTTAAACTGAGGCCTGGAGAGAGGAAGTATGATGAGAGAGGGGGCCTGAGGAGGAGGGAGAACTGGACCGGAAGGCAGGATGCCTGCTCTAGCCTGGGCCACCGCCAGCTCACTGGCACCTGGTAGGTGAAGGGTAAGCTGGAGTTCAGCTCCCACCTGCCCCCTCAGCCAGGTGCCCTTGGGCAGGGCACACCTTGCCCAATATTTGCAGCAGCCTGGTTCTATCTAAGCTCTGCCTCTGAGTTGCTGTGTGACCTTGGGCAAGCCCACCCCCTCCCAGGACCCCAGTCTCCTCATCTGTACAACAGGGATCTGATTAACATGTTCTTTCGGGCCTTTCGCCCCTGCAGTGTGCAGGGAGCCCACGGGATGAGCTGAGACTCTCCCCGGGCACCCAACCCAGGCTCATGGTTCTGTGCTAAGAAGAGCTGGTGGGGCCTGAGTCGTGTCGCCCCAGTCACAGGGGCTGGAGAGGTGTCATAAGTGCATGTGGTGGCCTAGGTGGGGAGAGCAGTAGACTGTCAGTCACATACTCATCTAATAAGCAGTTGATTACTGTCCCTCAGGAGGGTGTCCACAGAGCAACCAGGTGTATGATTTTACAAAAAAGCAGAAATCTGGATCTTTACATGAAAAGCTCTTTTTTAAAGGGCAGTCATTAGTCCAATTATTTACCATATAACATGGGGCAAACAAAACATGTCTTTGGGGCCAAATTGGCCCTTTTGCACTCACTGGTCTAAAGAGACAGCAGTCTCATAACATGGAATCTCATGACTCTAGTTGGAGGGTTGGGAGCCCAGGGCTGCCTGGAGAAGAGACATGGAGTCTCATGACAGTCCTTTCGCCAGGAGAGCAGGGCTTTATGGGTAGAGATGGTGGAAGGCATCTTCTTGGTCACAGAAGGTCAGGTAGGGGACACTGCATGGGACTTGCCAGTCAGGGGTACCTCCACCTTCCTCAGGTGCTGGTTCCGTGAGAAGACTGCCGTCTCTGCCCTCTATGTCACCGTCCATGGCTACTTCCTCATCACCTTTCTCTTCAATGCCGTGGTCCTGGGCCTGGTAGCCTGGAACATCTGCACTCTGTCAAGCTCCACAGCGGGCAAGGAGCAGGGGCAGAACTGGAAGGGGGTCTTCACCGTGCTGGGCCTCTCCTGCCTGGTGGGTGTGACCTGGTGGCTGGCCATGCTCACTCCCCTGGGCCTGTCTACCACCTATGTCTTTGCACTGTTCAACTCCCTGCAAGGTGAGGCTCCTGGGCCGCGGAGGGGACCGGCTGCTTCACTGGCACCAGGGGGTGTTGTTGGGTGGGGGAGGGGATGGAGACAAGAAGCAGGATCCCACTCAGGCTGGCTCAAATCAAGCTGATTTTAAATATCCAGGGCTCACTTACAGACCTCAGGGCAGGAAGGCTGGCTGCCCTCGTGGGAGCTGACACCAGGGTCAGGAAAAGCTACCAAAACCAAAGCAGATACTTACTCCATCTTTTTCTCTGGAGGCACATGTAAGGCTCTCACCTTTTCCTCTCTGTGGAAACTCCTTCATTCCTCTCTCCGCTGGTCCATTCCCACCCGTGGCTCCCAGGGGGCTCCCCAGTACGGCTGCCTCTACCTATGTGGCTTTTCAGGTCTAGTGCCCAGGGTCTGATGCAGTCTCCTCTCCGAACTTATGATAGTCAAGGATCTGATTGGGCCATCTTGCATCAGGTATTCATCTCTGGTCCAATCAGCTGTGACCAGGAAGGCAGCTAAGGAGCTACGGAGGCAGGAAGAAAATGATTAATGGAGGAAATGATTAACTTGCCTCCACAGGGTCCTTCCTCTGTTACCCCAGCAAAGGGGCAGGTGCCCAAGGTGTGGGCCGTGGTTTCCCTGTCTCTGTGCCCCTCACACTGTCTCACACACAGCTTAAAGAAGCATCACAGCCTGACTCAGAGGGAGTAGCTGGGAAGGGATGACAAGTGTGTGCTCTGACGCAGTCTCATCCAACCAGCAGGTCACTAGGAGCCCAGGGATCCTACATCCAGTGGGTGGGAGCCCCCCAGAAACAGGGCTGGCTCCCCATGCCTCAGGGGACGGTAGTGGTATTGTAGTTGGCAGCACTGGGGCAGGCAGGCCTGGGCTCGGATCCTGGTTCCACTCACCTAAAGCCACTCAGGTCCTCTGATCCAGCCGGCTGTAAAGTTGGAATAATCCCAATATGTTTCTCACCAAATTTCATGATGAATGACTGAGATAATGCATGTGAGGGACCTTGTAGGCCTTCAATATGTGGCAACTATGTTAATAACACAAAAGTCATTATTATTAGGCCATGTTAGATGGTCTCCAGACGAAAAATCAAGAGTCCACATCTGGAAAATCCCAGGGGTTAAGGATTGGGGATAGACCCATCTTGAAACCGTGCATTACATCATTATTCTCTCAGAGGTTACCCTTTCTAGTCACACCTGAACACTTCTCTCTATTGAGTTGTGTCAGCTGAATGTGAGTTACTCAAGACTTTATCTTCCTCCCAAACACAAGAGTTCTCAGCACATGTTAACTGTCCTTGAACTCTTCTCAGTATTCGTATTGTTTAGAGTTTTTATTGTAAATTTCTTTTAAACACACAGTTTTTATGTTTTCTACCAATTTCTGTACTTACTATAATTTTTACACCTCACACCTGCCCTCTTCTTGCTGCAGTGCATTCTGTAGTAATCCTTTAGAGGCTCGGTGGGAGAAACTGACTGTGGTGGTGGTGGTTTTCTGTGTCCGAAAATCCCTTTATTTTGTTCTTTCTTTTCTGTGACTGACACACACACACACACACACACGCATGAGATGTTATTTCAAGGACTCTATTTTTCATTCCCCAAATTTCTATTTGGTTCTTTTTTCAATGGAGCAATTTCTCCTCCAGACAGCCCGCGGCCGGGCCGCTCTCTGTCGGCCCCCTGCCAGCTCACCGAGGCCCTCTCCCCCTAACAGGTGTCTTCATCTTCTGCTGGTTTGCTGTGCTCTACTTCCCCAGCCGGAGCGCCATGTCCTCCTCTTCTGGCACTGCCCGAGCTGACCAGGCACACACTGTGTCTCGTGAATAGGGGGCTGCCATGTGGCCAGGCAGGGGCCAGCCCCACACTCTGGTCGGTTCTGACTTGCTGCGTGACCTTGGGTGGCTCCCTGCCTCCCTCTGGCTTTCCCTGGCTGTTCAGCGTGTCTGGGGAAGGAGGAGATGGAGACCAAGTTAGACCATCTGGCCTCAAAGAGCTCATCCAGATACATCGATGGGTCCAAGAGTCCACAAATCCAGGATTGCAGGAGTCTAAAGTTCCTGTAATCCTGAGATCCCCACCAGCACACAGCGATGCCCTGACCCCTGCCTTCACAGCGCAGCAGCCAGCCTCTGCCGTTGCCCACCTTCTGGTCTCACTAAGGGCCTGCACCCACGTAGTGGAGTTTCTTGCTGGCTCAGCCCCTTAAAGAACCACAGCCTCTTCCTTCCTCCCTCTTGTCACTGCCTTGCCCCGGCCTCACCCTCGGGCTGCCTGTATGTGAGGGACATTTGGGAGGTGGCCATCCCTTCAGGCACTGGGCAGCTGTGGACCGGAGGTTTGTTTGGGGGGTCAGTTGGTTGGTGCTCCCAGCCAGCCTTCTCCTGGTCTTGGCCAGTCCCTGAAGAGCCTATTTTTACTGAAGAGCACTTATCATTCAGGGGGCTGCCAGATCTCCAGGTATCTGGGGACACTGAATTTCAGAGAATGCCACTATGCCTGTGATACCTCACTCAAGGCCTCCAGCCCCACTCTGACGGCCACATGGGTGGCCTGACCTCTGATCTGCTGTCACACTGGGGTGGAGGGCAAATGGTCCAGGGCTCTGCACACCAGAGGGCCCAGGGACCAGGGCAGTGGAGAGGGCTATGCTGACCAGAGACAAGGTGGGTGATTCCCCCAGAATCAGGTCCTGTAGACTGGGCACTTCGACAGCCTCTCTGACTGGTTCAGCCCAGTCTGAGCCTGGTGTGTTCCAGGCCCTGAATAAATATTGCAGGATGAATAGCTAGATGTGTGAGTTTGGCACCAGCCTAACAGGGCTCTGAGTCAAGGGTGTGTCTGAGGCCAGACCAAGCATGGGTATGTCACCTCCTGCGCCAGGACCTTCATTTCACAACCATGTGCTGGTTTCCTCAGTAGTAAACAAAAATAGACATAAATAATAGATAGGGAGAGACAGACGGAGTGAGAGGATTAACTAACAGAGAGAGATTGGTAAACTAACACAAAGAAAACAGAGAGAAGGGTACAGATGCAGAAAGGCAGCAGCCCCCCTGGCCTGCCTCCAGAGCAATGGTGTCTGTCCCCCTCTCTGGAGCCCCACCCTACACCAGCACGTTACTCTAGCCTTAACCTACTAACCATGGGGAAATCTCACCATCCCGACTCAACCCCACCCTTTCCAGTGTGCTTTGCTGACAGTCATGCACTTCTGCAGGTGAGAAACTATCATTACTGGACCCTCCCCCACAGCCCCTGGGCTGCCCGCCCACAACCTCCTCCGGAATGCCATGTCCTAACACACACTAGAGAGGCTGCCCCAGCTTCTCCCTCATCCTGACCAGAACATGAAAGACAGGAAGGCGGGGGCTCTGGTATGCAAAGTGCTGTGTTCCTGGAAGGGAAATTCTAGGGTGTGGACATTGCATCAGTTGAGCCACATTATCAGTTTTTGTGGACAGACTTGCTGAGTTTTTGAGCTTGTCTTCACAAACATCTGTTTCTCACGTTGAAGGTCTTGGTTCCCTTACTACAAAGTCTCAGAGTTATCAACCTGTGCCCAGAAAGAAAGGCTGATTCAGGGTCTGGCAGGTCTGGGTTCAAATCCTGGCTCTACTACTTAGGGGCTGTGAACCCTGGGCATGTCACCGCACCTCTCTGAGCCCTAGGTTTCCCCTCTGTAAGATGGGAATCATCAAGTCCTTGTCTTATGCTGAGAGCACTGAGGTGACAGACGCGAAGTGCCTGGCACTGTCTCAGCAGGGGGGGCTCCCCAAGACACCACCCTCCCCCAAACACCAGGCTTAAAGAAAAATCCAGTGGAATCTTTGTGTAAAGCCTAATGCTCTGCAACCTGTATGTGAGGAGGGGTGTGAAGGTTAAAGCTTCCAGATTCCTTCAACAGCTCTGCCCAGTGTAGGGAAGAAGAAGTGGAGGCCCCAGGAGTTCCAGCAACCTGCCCAAGGCCAGTGTGCAAGCTGGGCTTACACAGGGCTGGGGCCTCCCTGGGTTGCCAATGCCTCCTCCCAGAGCATTTTCTGGGTTTGAGAACTGTCACCTCATCCATGACCCCCAAGTCTCAAGGGAAACCCTAGACTCTGGCTTTCCCGGTCATGCTCATCAGTGGGGTGTGGGATCAACAAAACTGCAAGCCCCGGATGGGCTGGGTTTCCTGGTGCAGACGGAGAGGGCAGAACGGGAGATGTGGCTAATGACGGTGGGGGTGGGCTCCTTTTCTGGCTGGCTCTCTACCACAGGGTCAGGCAGGGGCAGAGGGGGTGAGGTCCCTCATTACCTGGCGTCACTGCAAAATCGGGTCCAAGAGCCAAAACGAGCACATGCTAAGGCCAGGTGGGGACGTGGCAAAAATACCCGCCAAAGCCCGGTGCGGGTGAACAGCCCTTGTCATCAAATCTTCGCAACAGTGACCTGGGAGGTGGACAGCACCATGGTTATGAGCATGAACTCGCAGGTCAGCCTGTCTGGACCAAATTCTACCTTGGGCCCATTCCTCACCTATGGAACCTGTAAAGCAGGGAAAGCAGTGTCTGCCCCACAGGACTGATGAAGGCCCAAAAGAGTTACTGGCTGACAGGGTAGCCCGGCGCCTGGCCCACCTGGCCTGGCGTGTTTGTTACCAAGCCGGAGCTTTGCCTCGGCCACCACACTATCAGGCCCTGGGCTGCAGTATGCAGGAGGACCCCCCACCTTGCCTCATGCCTGGTTCTTTCTGTTCTGCCCAAATTCCTTCTTTCTTTGTATTTTCATTACAATATACCAATTACATAGGAAATAAGAAGACTTATTTGCTCTGTACTCTCAGATAATTCAATACAAAGGATAAACATTCTCACCAATTAATCTATGAACACAATCCAATTCCAATAAGATTCCAAATGATTTCTTTAGGCTTTCCAAAAACATATTCTAAAATTTATATGGAGGCCTCAAATAGCCAGGTCAATCTTAATAAAATAGGGCATACAAGGATGACTTGACCTGTAGATATTAAGATATTATAAAGCCATAGAGGTGAATCCAACTTGGGGTCTGTGCAGGGACAGGAGTGAAGGCCAGTGAAACAGAACAGAGGGCTCAGTGGCCGACTTATGTACACCTGCAGGACTTACTACGTGACAAGATGGGTGGTGTGATGATGGTGTTGGAAAATTGGCTCATTATGTGGAGAAAAATAAAACAGGATCTTTGCCTAACTCGTCATACGGAGATGGGCTCCAGGCAGAGTAAGGTTCTGGGATGGCAAAACGATCAAGTTAATGTAGGGAAATACTTTTGTGACCTAAGGGCTAGTAAGGACTTCTCAAACAAAAATTCATAAGCACAAACACATCAGACTAAAACCTAGTAAATCAAATTACATCAAAATTAAGGTTTTTGTTTAATAAGGGACACCCCAGGGCAATGTTGGCAGACAGAATTGGGGTAGACAGAATTGGGGGAGTCATTTGCAATATCCAAAACCAGGAATTCACATCCAGAAGTCCTGTAGATCAAAACAAGGACACTTCTCCAATAGAGAAAAATGGGCTGAGATTTTAAAAGACAATTTCAGAGGAGGAAACACCTAAAACTAACAATTAGCACATAAAGACACCTTTAACATCATTAGTAATCTGACACATGCATATTAAAATGGCAGTGAGCTTGCATTGTATCCCTATTAAGCTGGTAAGCATTAGGAAGCTGGGTAACTGCTGGCCCAGGCAGGGTATTAGGCTCCCTCGTGCACTGTGGAAGGAAGGAGAGTGCAGGTTTTTCACTTCCCAGAAAAAAATGGGGCGCTGCTCACTCAGCGATCCTCCTCCTGGTTATTTATCCCAAAGGAACACTCTTACAGGTCTATAAGGAACATGATTGATGACATCTTGGCGTTATTTGTAGAGGAAGGGAGTTGGTGGCAAACTAAGGTGTCCAACCCTGGGGGAGTAAAGAGATAATTAGTGTGGCTCCATACCGTAGACACACAGCAACATGGATGGATCTTAAAAACACAGTTCTCAATGAAAATACAAGAGACAGGAGAGATCCTGACACAATGTAGTTTATACAAATTAAAAATAGTGGTAGGCAATTTGGGGGAAAAAACACCTCAGAATGTTTGCCTATAGGGGTCAGGGAATGGGAGATGGGTATAGGAATAAAAGGGAACAAATAAATAAATTAAAATGGAACAAGAGGAAAAAAGAAGTCTGTGTGTGTTCCATTCTACCAGCCTAACGTTCCACCTGTTTTCCTTTTCTGATTCCCTTTCTGCCCTCATCCCACATGAATTCCCCACAGAGCTAATCCCAGGGCACACACCACATGCTGTCTCAAGACCTTTGCCTCAGTCTAATTTATCCTTCATTCTTTATTTTTCATGACTGCATGATATTCCAACCACAACTTAAAATCATTCTTTATGACTGAAAATTGAGGTGCTTGCGATGTTTCTACCAGTAACAGCAACTCTCTAACCTTGTCAGGACGTTGTCAGCAGTTCTCCACACACACACCCCATACCCCAAGGGCTGCATTAAGCCTTTCACAGATTCCTTCCTCCAAAAACAAAAGAGTAAAAATTATATTTTATAATTGCATTGGTATACAGATGAATATAATCCAGGGTGGACTCATAATTATATATTCATTATTAGTTTACTCATTTTTTCTTCTGAATTTAAAAGAAATTAAACATTTTCATGGGCCGCTAACCTAGCAGATAAGTTTTCCCTGTCCAGTGAATTATATACCAAATCAGGGGCCCAGCTTGGGCTAGAACCTAGGACTCAGGCAGCCTGGCTCTGTCCATCACTATGAGCAGACACACTAGGACCCACAGTGGTTTCCATCTGTCTTGATGACAGCCGCATTGACTGTGCATGGGGCAGTGGCAGTAGTGTTCTGGTAAGTGTTTAACAATTTGCTTACTGGGAGGAAAAGCCCTGGTCTGTAGCATTTGCCAATTTCTGTGGCATCAATAACCCTGTGGTCAATTTTAAGCTATCTATATAACATCACTGAACAGAAGTTGGGAAGAGATGCAGAGAAGCTCACCATTATATAACATTTCCATTGTACAGATACAATCAGTATAAATAACCTCAAGAGCATACATAATAGTAAAATGTAGTAAAATAATTTGGAAGTGATGACTTTTAAGTATTAATTGCCTCTTAAATATCATCTATGTACTTGTATGTTTTCATAATTCAATATGTAATAATGACTGTGTTTGTCAACTGGCTCACAAACATTCCTGAAATTTTAAGAATCAGCTCGTACAAGCCTACCCAAGCTGACTGCAGCCCACCGCAGGCCCAGGGACCTTCAATAGCGGGGCGGTTACAGAGGACTACATTTCCCATAAGCCTCATCTCCCAGACCCTGCCCTCAGCTTCCGAAAGCTGTTACCTTGGAGATGGGCTAACACATCCGTCTGGCTGTCCTCAGGTGAGGAAGGAGCAGGGGACCTGGGTGGCAGGACCCAGCCTATCAGAGGGAGGGGGAAGATGTTGGTAATAAGGGGACTTCCTCTGCCTGAGGGCTTCTAGCTGTGATCTTTCTGGGAAGTTTTGTGTGTTGTGGAAGGGAAGGAGGTTGTCACTAGGGAAGGGTGCAGGGAAGGGCCTGTTGGGTGGGAAAGGTCTCTGAGCCTCTGGACAGGGTCTGGGGGACTTTGAAGGGAGTCTGCCCTCCCCAAACTGGACTGTAGCTGACAAGGCAGCCAGTGGTGTGGAGAGTTAAGTATTGCAGGTTCCCGCCCAGCTCTGCCTCTGATGAAGGCAGATCTGTGATCTGGGCTCAGGGTCCATTTCAGTGCCTTCCATGTTGTAACCTTGGTTTCTCTGCATCCAACTTCTCTCCTTACCCACCACTCCCTGCCACCATCCCTTCTAGGACCTCCCCATCTCATTAAGCCTTAAGTGCATGGTGGGTTTTAGAGTTAGAACTACTGGGATCAAACCCTAAATCTGCCACTTACTAGCTCTGTGACCTTGGACAATGCACTTAACCTTGATGGGCCTCAATTTTCTAATCCACAAAGTGGGTATCATAATAGTGTCAGTCTCCTAGCCTCTGCAATGGAAAAACTTAGTTTGGGCACCCATCTCCTATGTGCCTCTTTACTACTCACACAGAGCACTTCACTTTAATACTTCTGGTCCCCAAATGTGTGTGGGTTTCTTCCCACACCAAGCAATTCTTGGTGACCCCAGCTGGGTGTCCTATAATTTATCTAGATTCTGACACTGCCTACCTGGAGAGAGTGTCAGATCCCACAGGCTAAAGGTTCAGTCCCACAGGCTGTCCCCACCCCACTTCAAGTAGCAGATCCCAGGTTACCCACCATTTCTGCCCAGCATGGCTACAAATTGGAAGGTCCATGACTCCCTCCTCAGGTTTGATTAACTTGCTAGAGCAGCTTCAAGGAAGCACTTACTTACATTTACCAGTTTATTAAAGGATATGATAAAGGATACAGATGAATAACCAGATGAAGAGATAAAATAATGAAGTCTGGGAGGGTTCTGAGTGTAGGAACTTCCACCCTGTGGAGGTGGGGTGTGTCACCCACCCAGTATGTGAATGCGTTCACTAACATGGAAGCTCCCTGAACCCCATACTATTTGGATTTTATGAAGCCTTCCTCACAAAGGCATGTTTAATCATTACCTTCATTTCCAGCCCCCCTACCCTCTCTGGAGAATGTGGGCTGTGGCTGAAATTTCCAAGCTTCTAATCATGGTTTGGTGAACTCCCATCCATGAGCCACCCAGGAGCCCACCCCAGAGTCACCTTATAAGATAAGAGATGCTCCGAATGCTTGTATCACTTAGGAAATGACAAAGGATTTAGGAGCCCTGTGCCAGCAACTGGGGGCAGAGACCAGTATATATTTTCTATTCCCTCACAGTCATTGGAGGAAAAATGAGATCATCTCTGTAAAACCCTCAGCACAGTGCTGGCACACAGTAAACTGTAAGCCCTTGTAATGGTTATTACTGACTTCCCTGTGGAGATATCATTCCTATGCCCAAGAGGCAGACAGACAAATGGATCTGATCATTGGACTGTGCTGCTTGGTCCGCGGGCACAGCGGGAAGTTCACCTGCAGGGCACTGAGGACCTGAATGGGCCTGCAGGACACAAGCCTCAGTCGTGATGTTGCCCTCCTGGAACTGGGCAGTAAGAGGTGTGTCTAGCCCCTCCCATCCTACAGAGGGTCATGATTGGGCAGAAAACATCTGTCCCTCCTTTCTCACCGGAAGGGGAAATTGAGGCCCAGAAAGGGGCAGGGAGTGGTGCAAGGGCCCAGCAGGAGCTGTTGGCAGAGCCAGAATTTCCCCCTAGCCATACTGGCAGTCAGTGATCCCTCCCTGAGAGGTCAAGGTGGCCCAAGCAGCGTTTGGTGTGGGAGGAGGAGGTGGGGCCCAGACTCTGCTTCCCTGTCCATTTTGCCCTCTTGGTCCTGGCTGCACCCCAAGAGGTGATGACATATCTGGGGAGACCCGGTTCTTTTTCTCCCCTGTCCTCACTATTGCTCCCCTCCCCACATCCTGTGCACTAGGTTCGTTTTCCTCCTTACTGGACCTTTGCCCTGTATGCTGTAAAGAAAATAGTTATGTGAGGTGCAGTAACGGGAAGACCTGCTTGGAGGCAGGAGGTTGGTACATCAGCTGGGCTGTTGTAACAGGGACAGGCTGAGTTTTCTCACGTGATGGGAGGTCTGGAGGTGGCATTCAAGGCCTTCAAGGCACCTCTTGGAACCCCACTCCTCCTATCTCTCCACTCTGCCATCTTTAGCTAGAAGCTTCTGTCCTTGTGTGTGGTCCTCTCACAACCATGCAATGGCTGCCCCATCTCCTGCTTTATATCCGTGTACATGTCCGTGTACCAGGCAGGAATAGGAGAAGGGCAAAGGGTCTATGCCTGCTGGGGCCGTGCCCTTTAACACCCAACAACGTCTACCTACATCTCAGCAGCTGAAACTGGGTTCACATCCCAGGGCCTCCTCTGGCTGCAAGGGAGGCCGGGAAGCTGAATGTTTCAAATGAAGCACCCCAGTAATAAAACTGGGGTTCTGCTATATGGAAGGGGGCCTGGATCTTTGGGTAGGCAATCAGTGGCCCACCTCAGTGAGGCCTGGCTCTGTGGTCACAAGTAAGACCTACCCTAGGGCACATGAACACATATAGCATCTCACCATGTGACCTCTAGCCTATGGGCTGACACAGGGCAGGGCCAGGATGGCACAGGCTATGACGCTCCTGACACACACCTGCTTCTTGTGCAGGGGCCTTGGTGGCAGCCCTGTCCTTGTCCTCTCTGCGCCTCATTTCCAAGTTTGGTGATATTACGTTCTTTTTTTTTTTCATTCCCCATATCACTTTACTATTAGGAATACTTTTCTTTAAACCAGTTCCCTTACTGGACTTCATAAATATATTTAAACAGTAAATTTAATAATACTGCAATATTCCCTACAGCTTTAGCGTCACTTGCCATAAAGATAAGGTACTGTCAGGAACAGTATACAAAAGGCAAAGCCATGTCCGGACGTTTGGGCTACGTGCTCCAACCCTGATGGTGATGGTAGCTCTGACCCTGTGGCCTCTGCCGTCAGTGTTAGAAAGCTTACAGAGGGGCTGGCACCAAGCAGAGACTTTCTCCTGGATGGGACGCAGTTTAGCAGGGAACCGCTTCCTCCCTCTGTGCAAACCACCTGAAACCACCTCCCAGAGACACAGGTGGTCTTGGTGGCTCCCTCCTGGTCTGAAGTCCGCTGTTCTGAGTGCATTTCTCCCTCCCACAGAGATAGCCAGAGACGCAACAGAATGGAGGTCCTGAAGGAGAAAGTGGAGGAGGAGGAGGAGGCCGAGCGGGAGGAGGCAGCTGAGCGAGCAGAGAAGGGCGAAAAAATGATGAGGCCATCGGAGATGCAGAAGGAGGAAATCATGACGCAGGAGATGATCAGAGACCTGGAGAAGAAGCTGTCGGAGATTGAGATCATGGTCCCGGAGAAGCCCTCGTGAGTACCAGGGTGGGGGGCTTCAGGCCCAGCAGTCCTGGTGGGGGTCAGAGCCGGGCTGGGTGAGGAAGAGCCAGACAGAATGGCTGTGCTGGGGCTGGGAGGCAGGACGGGGACACAGAGGGAGGCAGTTATGAGTGAGGGCCCTGCTTTCAGACTGCCTGGTCCAAGTCCACCCTCTGCCCCTCACAGGCTGTGTAACCCTAGGCAAGTCACTCAAGTTCTCTGTGCCTCAGTCCCCTTATCTATTTAAAAGTGCAAATGCTAATAATGATACTTCCCTCTCAGGTAGTGAGGATGAAATAAGGAAAGAATAAAGCTGATGGCAGCTAAGGTAGATTGAGGGTTCCCTGTGCCAGGCCTCGCCTCATGGAGACTAACACCACCCTCTTACGGTCACAGGATCATTACCAAGGACACTATTGACATCTCCAAGCTGCCCCTTTCCTACCGAAGCAACACACCCAAGGAGGAACACCTGCTGCAGGTGGCAGACAGCTTCTCCCGCCAGTACAGCCACCTGTGCCCAGACCGCGTGCCCCTCTTCCTGCACCCCCTGAACGAGTGCGACGTGCCTGTAAGGCCAGGTTGTGGAGGGCAGGACAGCAGAGGGTGGAGGCAGACCAAAGCACAGACCTCTCATGGGTCAGAGCTTACAGTCTGGGGGCAACATAAACTCAAATGCCAGCAGCCCCAGCAGGCAGGGGCCTGTGGGGGCCTGGAGACTCCATACCCCACCTAAGGGGCAGCTGGGCGCCCAGTGCAGTCGCCAGCCCTGTCCAGGGAAGAGCAGAGAAATGAGACAAAATGAACTAGAACCCAAGTGCTGGCTTTCTTACTTCCAGCCCTATGACCCAGGGTACGTTACATCCCCGAGTCTCTCGGGGCCTCAGTTTCCCCATCCGTCAATGGAATTGTCATGGGATGAAACCAAAGGTTGCAAAATGGCAGCCCACGGGCCAACAAGGACTCACAGACTGCTTTATCTGGCCCACATGGTGATTTTCAGCATTTGTATTAGCTGCCAGCATTTGAAACTCAGTAATTCCCATACAGATCCTTATTCCCCTCTTCTCCAGATCTGGTGACCATAGGCCTGCATTTCCCTTGCAGCAATCAGTGGGGGTTGCATCAAGGCTGCCCCGTAAGAGAGGTCATGTGAGATCTGGTGTGTGTGGAGCCCTTCTCAAATCTATAGGGAGACCCTGGAGGCACGGCCCACAGGCCCCTGGATAACAGAGCAGCCCCTTGAGGGCCCCCTATACTGGGGATTGGTTGAGAGCCTGAGAGATCCAGTTCTGCTACTGTGAACCTGAGCAAGTCAGCTAGCTCACCTCCCTCCTGGAGCCTTGGTTTCCTTCTTGGTCAATGGGGCCTGCCTTACAGAGTCGCTGGGGAGTGGGAGAGGTGATAGCAGGTCTGGGAGCACTCAGTGGGGCAGTGGTGATGCCAGGAGCTCTGATCATGCCGGCACCTGGGGACAGCACAGGCTTATTCTGGATCTGGGTTGAAAGGGCCTTGAGCCAATTCCCAAGCCACTGAAGGGGGCCTGAGGTCCAGAGAGGCCTCGAGAACACCCCCTGGGTCAACGTGGTCTCCAGCCTCCTGGGAGCAGTGGTGTCCTCCCAATGGAACGCCCTGCCCAGGGCCCGTGGTCTTGCCCCTGCAGAAGTTCGTGAGCACAACCATCCGGCCCACACTGATGCCCTACCCTGAGCTCTACAACTGGGACAGCTGCGCCCAGTTTGTCTCAGACTCCCTCTCCATGGTGCCTCTGCCTGACCCCCTCAAGCCGGTAAGTGCCACCCCGGGGCTGCATCCTTAGGCCCGTGAAGCCTGGGATGGGAAGCCGGGCAGGTAGGGAGAAGGAGGCCCATGGGGAGCCCACAGCCCACTGTCTGAGCTCCCCCTGGAGATCTCCTGGAAGGGGCGCCAGCAAGCCCGGTCTCCTTGCTCCCACCTCTTTGCCCCCTCCGGCCTTCAGCCTTCCTTCAGGAGGTGGGAAAGGAGAGAGAGTGGGCCCAGCTGCCCGTGGCCTTGGCCCCCAGCTCCATCTTTGGGCTTCTGATCACCCCAATCTTCTTCTCATTGAGGGTGGAGGGAGGGAGAGAGACGACCAAGAAAGGGAAGAGCAGGAAAAAGATGGGGGAAGAAGGTGAGGACAACTTTGGAATAAAACCATAAAATGCCCATTCAGAGATCATTAGGGCAGAGGCCCTGCGTGTCGTGCAGCGCATTTTCCCGTCAGGCAGTCCATGGCTCCCTAAAATGACAGGCAGATGCGGACTACACTTTGAGGCCCCAGGGTCCTTGATTTTCATCTCATTCTCCACAAGCTCCCTCGCCCAACAAAGGCAGAGAGCTCAGCTGGGGTCCAGCCTGCACTTTGGCCCTGGTGCCTGGCCCCTGACAAGTGGGGCAGATAGGGGTGGGCGGCAGCAGGCCAGCTCTGCTGACCAGACCACTGCCACCAGCCCTGCTACCTGTACTCCTCGACCACGGTGCTCAAGTGCCAGAAAGGGAACTGCTTCGACTTCAGCACACTGCTCTGCTCCATGCTCATTGGCGCTGGCTACGACGCCTATTGCGTCAACGGCTATGGCTCCCTGGACCTGTGCCACATGGATCTGACTCGGGAGGTGTGCCCGCTCACCACGAAGCCCAAGGAGGTATGGCTGGGCTCCTGCTGCCCTCGGCATCCCGCAAGACATGCCATCCTTGAGGCCATGTGTCCTTGCTTCTCCTGCCCCTGCCGGCCATCACCGCGGCTCTATCATGAAACAGCCCTTCAGCTGCCCTGGAGTTCATTTCAAACCGCTGGGGATTTCTCTGTCCTCAGCATCTTTACACACACAGCCCGGTTCTCCAAACTGGCTGTCCCTCCTGCCTTGTCATACTCAGTTTCAGCTGCTGTGAATCCCACAAGGTAACTTTTGTGAATGTCACATGCCTTATATATTAAATCAAACTCTTCCAGATTTAACCTGTGCATTTGATAAAAATCTGTCCAGCTGTTTTCATATAAGGAAAAAAATACAAACGGACATATTTAGGGTTTTATTTTCTCTCCCAGGTAAAAATGCCCCTTTTTAAATAGCAAATAATGTTACCAGCCCTCCAGCAAGTGGTGTTTTTTTTTATCTGCTGACTGAGAGTTCCATAATGATGAGGCTGCTGTGAGCATAAGAAAGACTCTTAAATGTGTGAATATATTTTAAGGAATCATAAAAGCATCTCTGTGCATTTGGAAAGTAGCCAAATGCAGACAGAAAATGCTTTTCATGGCCTGGATTGATTCCAGGACTCTTTGATCAGGGAGTGTCAAGCCCCTGTGAGTGTCTGCAGCTCAGGGCTGGGGATCCCGGGAACTGGGGCAGCCAGCCTGATGCCTGGACCCCTAGGTTATGCCTGGGTGAGCACCAGGGGCCTGGAGTAGCTGCTCCAGTGGAGAGACGTACCAGGTGAGAGCCTTGTTCTCTTAGGCCTTCCTCCCCAAGGAACACAGAACAAAAGCTCCATCATTGCTTTTGGCTCCAAAGGCCTGTGGGCTCGTAATCTCAGCCAGACTTTTAATAATCAACATGGTATCAATAGCTAACAGAAGCAGAGAACTTTCTGGTTTATAAATCACTTTCATGTCCATTGACATGGTTGCTCCTCACAGTAGTGCTGTGTAGCAGGTATTATCACACCTATTTTACAGATGAGGATGTTGAGATGAAACAGAGGTGGAGTAACATGGCCAAAGTCACATGGCTGTTAAAGGGACACTCAGGGACTGAGGCCCATCTGTCTGACTCTAAACAGTAGAGATTCACTTTCTCCCTCATAAATGTCACAGGCCCATAACTTCTGCAAACTTCTACAGCCTCTGTAGTGTGTTCTTGCCTAGATGTTTTCTTTGCCACCCAGCACACATTCATGCACACATGCACACACACGTGCGTGCACACACACACACACGCACAAGCTTTCTTTTCTTTCTTAGCCCAGCAAAATCTTAACTTTAAGTCCACATGTGAAACCCTCCAATGATAAAATCTGGAAAATCCGACTCTTGACAACCTGCCCCACTGTCTAGATCAGCTTCAGATCATATCTAATATGGGCAGTGTGGAAGGAAGACAAGAAAATTACATCTGAGCTTCTGCCCTGATGGGCACCTCACATGGCATTTTCTTGCCTTTCTCGGAACAAGTCTGGGGACAAGGTTCTTATTGTTCTCATTCCACCTTACCAAAGAGCCTGAGGTTAGGGAAGCAGGGGACTTGTCCAGGGTCCCAGAGCGGGTGCCGAGGCCCTTTCTGCATTGAAGGCCAAAAAGCCACAGGCTCAAGGAGCAGCTGTCATCTCCTGGCCTGAGGGGCAGGCAACCCAGGGCCACTGACACTTCTTCTCTTATTGAATGACAGAAGGTCCGGGAGGAGAAAAAGTCACCACCCAAGAAGTACACCGTCAAACCCCCCAGGGACCTGAGCAGCAGGTTTGAGCAGGAGCAGGAGAAGAAGCAGCAGGAAGAGATCAAAGCCGAGGAGGAAAGGCGGCTGAGGGAGGAGGAGGAGCACCTCCCGGTGGGTCCACATCCTTAGCCCTCAGTCCCTGAGCTCAGCTTTCCTGGAGGGCTGCTAGAAACAGGAGATAGACAAGGGTCGCACAGGGGGTGTGTTTACGGACTCCCCAGGTCCAAATCCCCTCCTCTATCCCTCCACCCTCCTACGTCTGCCCAGCTATGTGGGAATCTGCAGCTGATGGTCAGCCAGCTTCTGGTGATGGACTTCTAATGTCAGTGAGCTCTGCTGGCAGGGGCAGCCCAGTCTATGCTAGGCTCTGGAGCTCTCTGGGTTCCAGACTCATCCACCCACGGCCTACCTACATACACCCTTCCATCCATCCTCCCTCCCATCCCCCTCCCATGCCCCCTCCCATCCTCCTACCTATCCCCCCTCACCCATCCTCCCTCTCATGCCCCCTCCCATCTC